AATATGGATAACATTTTCTAATTATAATGTTTCTCTAATAATAACAACATTGATACTAATTGCATTAGTAAAAAAAAATTCTAGAAAACTAAGGAAAGGTGAAATCAGGTGAGGTTATGAGGTCAACTAATTGACTCCTTGGTGGCAGAGCATTTGTGAGGACAAATCACAAAACAATAATGCAGTGAACACTCCATTTTCCCGGCAGCATAGATTTAACACTGTCCACTAAAGAGAGAGGAAAAAAATAGGAGTTAAGTAACTAAACAATATAAACAAAATACAAAGAATAAATAAGAACAAATAAGAATGATAAGCACAGCAACAAACCACATTTCCTACCTCATGTCTGACGACTGGCGACCATGGCTCGCCATATCTTTCAAGACCAACAAATAAACAATTATTAGACATGGAAACATGAAGGGACAAGCTTCTCCAAAGACACACTTTGCTAACCAGGCTTTCATCAGGGTGAGGGAGAAGACAAGACAAAAACATAAGCAGTAGCTGAATGATAATAAGCACATATTACATTAACCTGCAGACACAATAGGCCTAAACTTCACAAAGCATATAAGCATTCATATCTATGGTTTCTTTTGAATAGCTACATCTGCTTTATTACAGTATTTTAATTTTTCCTTATTTTTCTTACATATCTGACATGGCTCACTCTGAATATAAAATGCTTTCATTTATCTAGTATTCTGTATGTTATTCCTGAGACAACAGGACAGAGGCCCCTTGGCGGGTATGCCCACTCCTGACAAATTAAAATTGTAAGCATAATTTTATCGCACAACTTTCTTATTAAAAACTTGTAGAGGAATACCATAGATGAAAATTGTCAAAATTTCCTATTTTTTGGTCATTCTGTTCATTACAGGCAAAATTTACAGTAATTCCAAAGATAAAATGTTTGTTTTTTCATGAACCAAATACTTACCTAACTCTACGGCTATACCCCCCAGACCCCTTTCCAATCGCCTTGTTTTCCTAGCTGGGGGTCAAAAAAATCAATAACTTTCATAACCCCAACCCCCTTCCTATCACTGTATTTCCCATGCCTGTGCAGTCCTTATCATACTATAACCAAAAGCAAAAATAAATATATACCAAATAAAACCCTGTAGAGAGGTTGTCTAACATCTTTTACACTATTGTTTGCACTTGGGGCACTCTACTGTTTTATTTCAATAGAAGTCCATTCATTACTCTCTCCACACAAGCTCAAATACCATGTGCAACCACAGCATCATGACTTTTGTACCCAATGGCATTGGCAAATCAAGTATCACTGCGACAAGCAAAGAAGGGGACTTTCTCTCTGAGCAACTAATTTTGTCACCTTTATTTTAATATTATAACGAAATAGTCTTTCCGCGCATGAAATTTGACTTTTTGATTAGTTTAAACGTTGTTCTTCAATTATAGTTGCATTTCATATTTGTTTACTAAAATTGGTGCATGGGCCAGTCTGGGAACCTGCCCACACGCCGATTTTGGTACTGCCCAGAAACGGGGATTATTGCCCTCCAAATTTACTGTTACCAGTGGGTTAGCAAAAGACATTAAAAGCATAAATGTGTAACAGCAGACACTGATAATTTGCCAAATATCATTTTGACAAGTGCATAATAACGCATGAACTACTTTGGATATCGCAGTAATGAGTTCTGTGGTCAGTGTTGTGTTTTTCCTGATATATTTCATACCCTCCCCTGCTATTCGAACTAACAAATCAAAATTGTCCATGGAAGTGGTATTCAAATTTCAAGGAAGCATCTGCACAAGAAACAACATCAAGAATCATTGAAAGGAAGCATCTGCATCATCAAGAATCTTGAAATTAGTGGATAACCTACAGATAAATACCAAAATTGTTTAAAAAAGTAAGCCACTACCCTATCCTACATATCGACCGTCTAAAGCATCGAGACTTGTTCTAAAGGTTTTAATACTAAACTAAACTGAATCCCTTTTGCTCTGACGTTTCGATACGTTTCCTCATTCGGCTCTGTCTGGAAATGCTGCGCGATACGTACTAAACTTCAATCCACTAAATTCATTCTCTTCCCCTTTACCCTGTTCTCAAGCAGCTCTGCCGTATTTCAAAGTAGCTATACAACTCTTAAATAATCGTACGTAGGATCTCCCTCTTAATTCTCAGGTAGAACACAAACTGATTTTATTTGGCAAGATGAACATTATATTCTATAATAATGGCAGACTCTTCGCTCTTCACAGCGTATTGTTTACCTTCCTCTTTCTCGGCATTGGACAAATTCTAAGCTAATCAAACAACACCATAGTATTACAACTGATTCCCCACTCTTTGACAATCATTCTACAACACGTATGCTTAACATAAGTGAGTAATTACCTCGTTGTTTATTACTTTTGGACAATCCAAGCGTCGCCTTTCCCTTGCAATGTGTAGACTGATCGTTCGAGTCTCATTTCTTTTTCTCTCAAAAATGTACTTGTTATGGTGCAA